AGCCAGAGTTTTTCCCCTCGCTGCTGGAAAAGCGTGATGTAATGTAATGTAATGTGGAGGATTGTGGGAGCAGCTGACTGCGCAGGATGGGCGCAGAGGGGACAGCAGTCGTGGTGGCTGTCATGATCTGTCATTCCCCTCATGCCTCCACCCACACATGATGCCGCCAGCCCCTTGATGAAAAGCGCCATGGCTGACTGGGCGATGGTGCGTGATCAGGCCACTGCATGGCAATCTTGCTGGAGCGCAGCCATCCACCATCCATCGGGACCGGTGGCATGCGCGCTGTAAAGTTTTCCCTGACTAAAATGTGCAACCCAAGGCTCCCACCACTGCAGGGAACTGTGTCTGATGTTGAACATTGCAGAATAAAATTGCACTCACATGCATCTGCACTTTCACATGCACGCGGGATGCGCGTGCTCTCTCTCTCTCTCTCCCTCTCTCTCTCTCTTTTTCACACACACACACACACACACACACACACACACACACACACACACACACACACACACACACCGACGTGTGCATCAACACCCCGGCATCGCTCACTAGTGTCAAGCTTGGTGATGTACGCCTCAGCGAGCGCCTTGATCTCATCAGGCTTCAGCGTCAAGAAAGCGCCCGCCTTGAAGGGGTCGGCGTTGGTCAATATCGCGGTCAGCAACTCGGGGCCGCTCCTACGGCGATGGCGGCAAGCCGTAATCGGGCAGCGACGTGTCAGGTGGCGGTGGCCGCTGCCAGTAGTTGAGAGCCTTAACGCACTGTGATTTTGATGGTTGTCATGGTTGGCGCGGCTGTTGTCGCAGGAGCGCGTCGGCGCGGGCATGAGGGGTGCCCTACACCCCCACTCACAATCCCTTGCGTGGGCCAGCGGCGGGCTTGGTGGCGAGTGCTGCTGCTGTGAGGCCCAAGCAGAGCAGCACGGCCAGGAGCTTGGCGTGCGTCATCCTACACGCTGCCAGAGAGCTGCCCTCTTCGCCGGCGTGGTGCCCGCCGTCGACTGCCGCAGCGGGCCGCCCTGTTGCGGTTGCGGCGCTGCTCTCCGCAGCTTCTGCCGGGCTCCCGCGCCGCCGTTGGTGAGCGAGGTGAAGTATGCCTGCTGATTTGAGACACTAACGCGCTTTCAACATTGATGCGGCCGTGCTGCGCCCAACGAACCCGCTGCCCAACGAAGACTTTCAGAAGCGGAGCTGGAGCCGGACCGCGGATGAAACGTCTGGGTTGAGCCCCTGGATTATATATGAAAAATTCGCTACCGAGTCTTATGGCGTTATGATGTCGTAACGATCTCTGAACGCTGCCAAAAAAATGGTGGGACACCCGGACTTGGCGAGATGGTGCTGGTTGGGGTCAAGTGCCCGGCACATGATCCAGTTGACCAAGATGAATCATGTACGGCTCAGCTGGCCACTTGCACATGAGTGTAACTTGTCATTGAAACGCGACCGCAACTTGGTCTACATCCAAAAGCCACACTGCCGAAGTATCAACGGAAGGGAGCATGCAGTACAGCATTTCAGAAATCGCACTCATCTGTTCGTCATAAGCTTCCCTTCTTCAGACGACCCATCATGAGAGTACACGCTGACACGCAAGAAAGGTCCAACACCAGTAGCCTGCGTAGGCGCCATGCGTGATAGTGTGCACACTGGGATATCAAACGCGGAGCTTATCACCTGCGCAGCCTGCCTAGGTAGGCAGAGGCAGGGCCGACCCCTGTGAAAGCAGCGGTGTGTCGAATTCACCTGCCGCCGCCGCTGCCTGCCCCGCCGGCCCTCGCTTCATTGCAAAACGCAGCAGCGGCCTGGCCACATGTCTGCCCCCGTCGCGCCTGTGTCGCAGGATCGCTGGGCCTGTTTGGTAACAGCCTGTTCCAGCTGGCATTTTGCACGCTCATTGCAGATCACCATGGCCTTAGGCTCCAGGTGAGGGCTGCAGTAAAACCGGGCAGTCTAACTGAGGAAGCAACGGGATGGCGCCCGTCCGCGTTGCAGAATGCAGCATGCCGTTCGCATGTGCATGCCGTTGCATGCTGCCGCATGGCGCTCCATGCGGGCAGGCTCGTGAGCTCAGCTGCTGGCACACCGCAGCCGATGCCAGGCTGCACCCTGCTGCCCCGAGCCCAGAGCCGCTGGCCGCCAGACCATCCACCCCGCAACCACACACGCAGGTGCCCGAGCGGTGGCACTGGCGCCGCCATTTCGCGGCCGAGGCAGCCTGGCAGGTTCTGCCAGACTCGGCGGCCTGGGCCCTGCCAGTCGTGGCTGACCGGGTGGTGCTGTCCCATGCAGGGTTCAGGGCCTGGATCTCGACAACGCAGCAATACCAAGACCTGGCCGCAGCTCTCGGCGCGCCGCCTGGCAGGCCGCTGTCCGGCCGGCAGCTGCGGCGCAGCTTCCCACAGGCGTCCGCGGCGGACATCGCGGGGGCTGCGTTGGTGTCGGCAGCGGCGGATGCCAGACACCTGAAAAAACGCGCTCGGCACGGCGATGATGCAGATGTTTCAGGACGGACAGAGGAGCCCGGCATGGCGGCTGGCCAACCAGGTATATCAGCTTTCGCAGGCAAAGGGTTGTGGGGCTGGTATCAATTTGACACCTCAGCCTACGCGCCCTACAAGGACCGCATATGCGAGCTGTTCAGGCTGAAGCAGGAGCAACTGCTGCGGAAGGCGCTGGCACTGGCGCTCAAGAGAGCGCGATTGCAGCAGCAGCAGCAGCGGCAGCAGCAGGGGCAGCAGCAGCAGCGGCAGCAGCAGGGGCAGCAGCAGCAGCGGCGGCAGCAGCAGCAGCAGCAGCAGCAGCAGCAGCAGCAGCGGCAGCAGGGACAAGCACAGCAGGAGCAGCGGCAAGGGCAGCAGCCGCAGGAAGGTCAGGCGCCGTACGGCCAGGTGCCTGCCATGGAAGCGCGTGGAGGCGACAAAGCCGAGGAGGCGCCAACTGCCCGCGGCATCCTCGGCAGGGATCGAGGCGCGGGATCGTCGACAGCGATGGGTGAGGGCCGCGGCAGGCTGGTTGTGGCGCACGTGAGGCGGGGCGACCAGCCAGAGCTCGCGGCTGGCAGCGTCAGGGGCGGCAGCGGCAGTGGCGACGGCGGTGACGGTGTGGGGAACGACAGCGGCAGAAGCAGCCATGAGAACCTGGGGGCCAATGTGCGTGCTGGTCGCGGCAGCGGCGGAGCCGAGGGACCGCAGCAGCAGCAGCAGCAGCAGCACCAGCAGCAGCAGCAGCAGCAGCGCCACCAGCCGCCGCCTGCGCGCCCTGCACCCGCGCTGCGCACCACGCCGCCCTTTGAAGATGGCCAGGGCTGCGCGTGGGACGGGAACGGCTGCGACTGGCGCGCCCCAGCGGCCTGGCTGTGGGACGCAATACGTAGCCTGAAGCTGGACGCCGCGGCAGGCGACGTGCTGTGGGTGTGCACCGACGACCCGGAGCTGGCGCGGCGGCCGCGGCTGCTGCTGCTACAGCTCGGGGCAGCGGCGGCCGCGGGCGGCCTCGAGGCGGCCGTGCCGGTCCTGTCTTGGGATGCGGTCGTGGCCAGGGCGCGCGAGGCGCTAGATGGGGACTGTTGGGATGGCACGTACGCGTGCGTGATCGGCGAGGCCGGTGATGGCAGCGGCGTTGTCGCGGACTGGTTCACAATGGCGGCCGCCGATGTGCTGCTCTCCTCCAACTCGACGCTGTCATTCACGGCGGCGATGGTGGCGCGACATGGCGCGCCGGGCGCGCGGGCGCTGCGGCCAGACCCCAGGGTGGGGGCTTATGTTGACTTTGACCCGTGGGCCAGCCTGCCGCTGCTGCCGGCGCGGGAGGGTCTGCCGCTCAATCATTCTCTTCACAGGCATCCAATCTGATGGCCTGCCTTGGTTGTTGCATCACGCTCTGCCCCTCCCTGGCGCTGCACACAAACCAAAACTCTTTGCCATTTTTGAAACCGCCCAGCCACTTCTGGCCAAGCGTGCACCAGCACGCAAACGCATCAAGCTCACAAGGTGTCCGGCCGAGTATACACATGGAAGCAAATGTTGCTTTGGCGGCTTTGTTGTGTCAAAGCACACCGATGCACCTCGCGCTGTAAAAAATGCCAGCGCCGCCAGCCGTGGTGACACCCGCCGACCATGGTGGGAAGCAGAAAGCTTCTGCCTTGTGATCAACGGGGAATGCTGGTTCATGTAAGCAACTAAGCGTATCTCCAATACATGGCCTCGTGGCGTAACGGGTCTCGCAGATCACATCGTTCAGCGCGCGGTCTTCGGCTCGTAACCCGCTCATAGGATAAGTGCAGATGATTATCAGCCATCTAAAGCACAGGGCAGCCACACAAGCTGCAATTGGGCTGAGGCGGTCGCCTGCCGCTCGCTCTACGCGCCACGCTCGGCCATTGCGCAGTGAGCGCCGGGGCCGCTTGCCGCCAATGGCGGCGGGCGTCAGCGACGTGTTCGTCCTCGATTTTGATGGCGTGCTGGTAGACTCGGAGCCGGAGGTCTCAACTTCTGCTTTCACCGCCGCGCGTGACTACTGGCCTGAGGTTTTTGAGGGAGTTGGGGAGGAGCAGAAAGCGGCCATCCTCGAGGTGCGCGTGTGGGTCGCTCGCTATGCCGGGTGGCACCGCCTCCAGCACGCCAAGCGGCCTCAAAACCTACTCCTGCATACAGACGACCAAGTCATCATGCTGAGCGGCCAATGAGTTCGGACGAGTCTGGCCAGTGTTGTGGCGGCTCTTGCGTCCATGGGCTGCCTGCTGTGAACACCTCAAGACTCACATGCATTCGATGCAACGCACCCTGACCCAACTCTCTCCCCCGCACGTCGTCCCCTCAGGGACTGCGCACCTGCCGCCCCGCATTAGTAAGGGGCTACGAGTCGATGGTGAGGTCATCCGCAGCTGACTCGGCGCGGCGCCAGCAAACTGGTTCCCTCACAGATTGTCGACCCAATGCTATTCATCTTATTCATGACGTGCACCTCTTGCACCGATCCTTGCGGCGCACCCTCTTCCTGCCGCCCTAGCCACATCACTGAATGCATGTGCATCACGCAACATCCGGCCCAAATGCAGGTCATGGCGCGGCTGCTACTTGAGAGGCCCGGATGCGAGCAAGACATCTTGACTCAGTGGGAGGCGACCCTGCTGCCGGCCACGCTGGAGGTCCGCCTGCGCACACGCGCGTGCGGGGGTCGCGGGGGCGGTATGCACCACGCCAGCAGCCTGGGATGTCATGTAAGAAGCCGCTTACAGCCGCATCCTCATGCGGCCTGTCAATGATAGGGGGTCTGACCTCAGCCTGGAAGCTTTTCGCTGTTGCAGTATGCCTTCAACCTCTCATTGAAACCCACCCAACCACATCCATCACGTCCAACCCGCCCACTGGACGAATCAAGGCCTGGGGGGAGGACTGGCTGGTGCTGCAGAAGAGCTTTGAGGAGCACCGCGCCGGCTGGCTCGACCGCGACCGCGCCGGCTGGCTGGCCTGCAACAGGCCGTACCCCGGGATCGTGGAGGCCCTCGCCGGCTGCGAGGCGCCCTTCTACATCGCATCCAGGTGCGACCACCTCTCCACCGCCCGCCGGCCCGCCGGCCCGCCTGCCTGCAGCAGGTGCTGTCTTAAGATGCAGGGGCTTTGGAGAGGTGGTCGCGCTGGGTGCCTGGCAACGCCTCAGCGACGTCAGAGCCATCATATGAGCACGAGGCGAGCGTGGCCCAAGTGACGAGCTGATGTCACGCCGCCGCTCCCTCCACACACCCCCACGCATCGGCGCATGTGTCGCCGTGCAACCACTGCCTGCCGCCTGCAGCAAGGCGGGCCACAGGGTGGCGGTCCTGGCCAAGGAGGCCCTCGGCGTGCGGGTTGAGGCGGATTCGCCCCGCCTGTTCTGCTCCCTTATTCCTCCCAACGAGAAGAAAGTGGCCGCCCTCAGGTGTGCAATGTGATCCTGCTGATCTTGGGGCAGATAATTGTGCCTCGAGAAGATGTGTGTGTGTGAGTGCGTGTGTGTGTGCATGCGTGTGTGCGCGCGGGGCGCGGGATGAGAGGGGGAGGGGCCAGCGGACAGGCGGGCACCAAGCCTCCGGCTGGCCCACCTTGCGACTGCAAAGTTGTATGGTTTTTTCCACAAGGAGCCGCCGGCTTTGCCGCTGACCGCTTCGGGCGTCCAAAGGGCCCCGACCCAACGGCCTCTTGCCCTACCGGACTGCAGCGCCGCCCCATCGGCCCCCATCCGCCCGCTGGACCCCGGTCGCTTCCGCCAGGGAGATCGCAGGGCGCCCAATTTGCGACGGCGCGCGGCTACACTTTGTAGACGACAGGCTGGAGACGCTCAAGGCCGCCAAAGAGGCCGGACTAGCCAGCAGTTGGAACCTCTACCTCGCTGATTGGTGGGCCTGTGGGGACCTGGTGTGCTGGTGTGAAGAAAAGCCTGCTTGCACGCGCGGCTTTGTGTTTCAAGAGGGGCTGCTGGTGCCTTGGAAATAAGGCTGCGGTGTGCGGCGGGGAAGGGGTCTTCTTTTGTGCAGCAGATGAGGCAGAAGTTATGCATTGGGGTGTGGCGGGATGTTTTGTGCCGAGTCTGATGGACGGCAATGAAATCGTCAGGCAACTGCTGTTGAGCGACGGGGGAATGGCAACAGCAGCTGGTGTGACGTTTCGCCACGGCGAGGATTCGTGGTGCACACGCCCCCACGGCAGTCTGCTGACATGACGGGACACAAAACGGCGGGCGCACAGGGCGAGGGTGGGACGTTCAGCGGCGGGCGTTGGGATCGCATGCGCTGGTGGCCATTCACACATAACAATATGCTCCATCCATGTTGCTGCTCGCACCCCTTACGTGATATCGTATCCTCCACGTTTCCAAGGGGTTACTGCACGCCAGAGGAGCTGGATGAAGTGAGGGGCCTGGAGGGCGTGCGGCGGCTCAAGCTGGGGGAGTTCATAGAGCTGCTGAAATGGTGAGGGGTGACTTGAGAACCCAGGGGGTCGCTTGAGGGGTTGAGGCGGTTCTGGGGGAATTGAGGATGTTGACTGTGTGAGTGTGTGTGGCCTGTCTGTGTGTGTGTGTGTGTGTGTGTGTGTGTGTGTGTGTGTGTGTG